ACCTGAAACTAACAATAAAAAATAAATTAATTAATTGTAAAATAAAATAAAATAAAATGTCTCCAGACATTGCTAAATGTCCCCTGGGTGGGGGAGGGGCAAAATTACCCCCAGGTGAGAACTACTGAATAAAATTTAAATCTTACCGAAGAATAACCTACTGGGTGAAACCATTTAAAAACCTACTGTCTAGAAAGAGCAGAAATCCTAGTCAAACTTTTGGGGTTTTATTTTTTAAGAGTTTTATTTGGCATAGATTTCACTGTTAAAATGTCTTCAAGACCCATGCAGAGGTAGTTTTAAACATAAGAGTTTCCATACTGTACTTCAAAATATATTTTATTGCAAAAATCGTATTTTAAAGAAAAAATCAGTTTATTTATAGTCCTATACGACCAAGTTTTAAAAATATTTTTACAAGGCTGTGTGAAAGCACACATTGTTCTTGCCGCTACGCTTTTTGATTGTTGTTTAATTTTTTTTAACTTGTCTAAAAATGGCCTTCTTTTCCAACAGTTCCCGTATTATGTAAAAAACAAACAAACAAAAACACACAAAAAAACTTGAGTTCCCCGTCTGGACTGTTTTCTGTCCCTGACTTAGTGTGACTTATAAATGTCTCCGTCAGGAATTTATTTTCTTGTCAGACCTTCTCTTCTCTTATTTTTTGACAAACTTTCTTTGGAATACAGTGTCTGGGCATCAGGGCAGCCTTATTTCCCCTTCTCTTCTTTCTACAATGCAGTTATCGACGAGATAGGAATAACATATCCCCAGAACCCAGAGGTAGAACGCTAAATGTATTCTTTATAGGAAATATTGGTAATTAGATAGTTTAATGCTATAGTTCAGCCACATCATGGCTTAAATGGCGTTTAGAATTTGGTCTGATTATATATAGTTGCTTCCATGAGGAAATATATTTTGAGTGCCAAAACTATGTCTTATAAATAGCATACATTCTCCATTCCTATGCTATAGTATTTCTGTAACTGGGTTCTACATTTATAATGCTATCTATCAGAATGCTAAAATTAAGATTTATTAAAATAATTTTAATTATGCATACTGATAGCAATCAATACACTGTGTGAATGAAAGAGAGAATGATATCTGAATAATATTTTTCTTATACCTTTCTCTAAATGAAGTCTGGACCCTTCCAAGATTTTAAAATATGATAAGGAAATTTGAGGGGAGAAATTTAGAGAAAATGCTAATACTTTTTTTTTTTTAAGATTTTATTGGGGAATTGGGGGAGGGGAACAGACAAGTTGCTGTTGTTTTGTTCTTCAGTCTAGTTGTGGAGGACGTTGCTTTACTGGCCCATGTTGCTATTATCGTTGCGCTCTTCCCAGGTGAGGCAGACCAGTCGCCGGCCTCTGGATGGCTGCTCACCGTGGCTGCTGGCTGCTCACGCTGGCTGCCAGCCACACACCGTAGCTTATGGCAGCCCTACTGCAGCAGGGGCTGCAGCCTACGCCATCGCCAGTGACTAACGGCAGCCCAGCTCCAGGTTGAGCTGTTGTTCACCATTTTAGCTGTGGAGGGCAGTGTCACTGGCCCCTATGAGGGATCCAAACCGGGGCCCTGCTGCTCAGAGCTGGCATCCCAAGCCAACTCTTAACCAATGCGCCACTCAGCTGGCTCAAGAAAATGCTAATTATTAAACAGAGGTATAGTTGGACTTATTTTCTGATTTAAATAAAAGCAAATCTTAAAACGCAATGCAGCTTTCCAGTGTTACTTATCCTCTTTCTTTCCTTCCCAATCTACTTCAATTAAATAGGACCCCAAAATTAAATGTGAAAATGTTATCTTAATATCTTAAGTAGAAATTATAGCATGTTCATTTCATTTGAAAATATCAATAGCATACATAAGTCCCTCTAACAATGTCTATTTTTAAATGCAATATGTAAAAGATATTTAAGTAGATATTTCACTGCTATTTCACATGAAATAACAATAGGTGAAAATTAGGATGTTATTCAGTTCTTTAATGCAGCACCGTCATGCCCCATCTCCCCTGGAGATGGAGAAAAACAAATCTTTTAATCTCTGGAACTATTGGATGTTACTCCTTTATGTTGGCATTTTTGCCATTACCTGTAAAAGAATACCACGTGGAAAATTTCCAGCAATGATTAAGAAAGGGGTGAGTATGATAACTTGAGGGCTACGTGTTACGGTCTTGGCACTATCACTCATTATTATATAACTTATCTTACCCTCCCGTCTTTCTCCATGAAATGAAACCCCAACCAACCAGTCAGCAGCAGAACTTGGATTAGGACACAAAACTCCTGCCTCTCCATTATGTATTTGTTTTTGTGACTCAGCCTAATCCATTCAGGGAAGTATTTAAACCACATCTGCCTGAATTTCCTGCCAATTTCCTTTAAACACCACCATCAGCTGAATCAATCTCCTGCCAGCTGTCCTCTTACAGAAAGCAATAAAGTTTACATTCTCACTTTTTTGATTAAAAAAAATCTTGACTAAACAAAGAACTTCTCACACTTACTATTCTAACACCTTCTCTAGACTACCCTGCTTTGCACTCAGGATGAGTGTACATTGGGACTTGTTCAGTGAATCTACAACCTGATCAAGATGAATGCCCTAAAGGGAATATGAAGTTAGGAAACAGGTGGTAGCTGCTTTATGGGTGTCTGATTGTATTTTTAATATATGCACTGGCAACTGGAAGTGGCACAACAGCTAGTATACGCTGGAATCACCCAAACTTCCCCACTCTTGAAGCTTGTTTTTTTTTTTTTTTCCTCTTTCTCCATCCTTCAACGTCTATAAGCTTAGAATTTGCCCAAGCCAAGCCTACACCCCCATTCTCTCCTTGGTCTAATGCAGGACCTAGTGAGCCCTTCCATTCAGGTCCTGATGATGGGTAATGGGAAAGTAAACCCAGCCTCAGAGCTCATCTCTTTGGCATTATGTCCATCTCTACTCCACCTCCAGAGTCCCTCGAAGATGTACATCAGGCTTCATGCTCTAGATCACATGCCGACTTGTATAAAATACACAGACTAGTTATAGTCCGTACTATGAATGGGTACTACTCTAAATTCTAATGACTTTCAATCACAGATTTTGTGGGCCCAAACTGATATTATTATGATTCAGGTCACCCTTTAGGGGCTGAGTTTACTCAGCTTCATACTCATCAACATCAAACAAGTGCCAGGTGATCTATATATTCACTTATTTAAATGAAATAAGAATAAGGATGACAGAATTTTTTCAGCTTATGCCACTCTCTTATTGTTGTGGGTAGGGTGAATAATAATAATAATAATAATAATAATAATAATAATAATAATAATGAAAAATGATGTCAGGCTTTCTCAAAAAGATTATGGGCTTGTTTCAAAGGTAAGAAATGCAGTGAGAACCCTCAAAATTGCATTCTATTTTGCAGTAGGCTAGGCCACAAAAGAACTCCCTAGGAAGGAAGCAAAGATGGCAAAGCTTATGTGAAAGCTTCACTGAACAGATGACAGAACAGCACCTCCCTCCCTTCTTTTCTCCCTCCCTCTTTTACTCCCTCCTTCCATCCCTTTCTTCCTTTCCTCCCTCCTGTCTGCACCCCCCTGGCTTCCCATCCATAAGTGAACAGCAGCTGCCTTGACTTCCTGCGATATCTTCTTTTTAATACAACCTCTGAGGGAACTATGCCCAAGAATGGGAATAAAGAATTTTCATTAAGAAAAGAATGTTGATAAGAGCTTTTGGCAGTGGGTGTGTGTTTGAGAGAGAAACAGAGAGAATGAATGAATATTAGATGTGGGCGGAGGAACAGTTTTGTATTCCTTAATAGCCTCGTGAGAAACTCAGGGCATATTTTCCTAGGTACTCACTGTCAAAAGGTACTATGATTTAGGTATTTAATTTGTTAAAGGATTATTTTATGGGAACGTGCATTCATTCCACCTTTCAAAGCCAAATTAGAAGTGATCAAGCCTTTGGAACACAACCTACTGGAGAACTGGGCTCTGCTAGATCGATTTCATTTATTAGGCAAAATTCTAAAAGCTATGTGTAAGCTGAAGCAACAAAAGCAATCACTACCTTTGATAACATTTTTCATACAAAGAAGAAACAGAAATAACTGGAAATCTCATGGTGCACTAGGAATAGCTTTTTGAGTAGAATATGAAAAATGTGAAATAGGAAAAGGCCAGGTTTAATTTAAATTGAATGAAGTTTAATGAATGCAGCCAAACTAACAATAATAAGTATTTTTTTTTATTCTCTCATTTGTTTGATAGAGTTGTGGTAGTTTTTGTGGGAGATAAGGTCTGGGGCCCTAAACTCAAAGAAATAGTAGCCAGTGTAACAAAAACAAGCTTTGAGGAGAGTGAGAAAGGTGGAAATGCAAACCTTGTTTCTTTGATAAAAGTTTTCAAAAGAAGAAATAAGTGACAGAGGAAAATCAAATGTCAGTTTGGTAGAGGGCATACTGTACTGTCACCATCGCTGGAGAAGGAATAGCAGCCCAAACTCCATGCATCCGTTTTATCTTCTCGGTCCTCCAGTGTTCAGTGCTCTCTGTTTTGTGCCTTCTTTACGCCCTTTATTATGGTGTCTCTCTCTCTCTTTATTCTCTCATTGTCTCTCTTCCTCATCATGCCTTTCTTTTTCTCTACCACTCTAATTCCTCAATGTTTTCATTTATGTTTTATAAAGAAACTACAGATTGCAGGCTAAGGAAATAAAAGTTTTTTAAAAGCCAGTTAATGTAAATCAATAGGGATTTTTCAGTAGAAAACAACAGGAAAAATTGGAAATTTGATCACACTTAGTAGCCCACTATATTTCAGACTACCGGTGAAGCATATAACACCTAGTTAATCAGATCTTCCTGAAAATATTATTTTTCATTAATAGCATAGAATTACATTTTAGCTGTCGTAAACTAGTATTTAGATAGTTACTTAATCATGGTAAAAGTATGTAATCATGTGTTCTTTTTCTTACAGCCTTAAGTTTTACAAGTCTACCTGTCCCAGAAGAAGTGCTGGCAAAATCCTCTAACCTTTCCTTGGAAAGGCATAACATATCACTGACTGGTAAATATATCATATTTCAACTAATACTATGCCAACATAAGATTTATTTTTAATTAGATCATTTCATTTTGCCTCATGAAGTACTAATCCCTGCTCATGGTCTGGTGGGAGAAACACACCAGTCCTTTATGCAATTTTAGTATATGAGATCTGACAATTAAGTTCACGAACTCATCCTAGAAAAAGTGCTACATACCTACCTCATTGCTGAATATCACTACCATAACCTTCGAAGTACTCCCCTTGGGAAGCTATGCACCGAAGCCAGTGCCTAGTCTGCCCTTCAAAGCAATTTTGGAACTCTTTTTTTGGAATGGCCATTAGAGCTATCGTCCTATTACCCCTGATGTCCTGAATGTCATCAAAATGTTTTCTTTTCAATATTTCCTTTATCTTCAGGTAAAGAAAGAAGTCATTGAGGGCCATATCAGATGAGTAGGGAGGGTGTTCCAATACAGTTA